AGCCCACGTGCTGGTTTTGCCCTTAGCACTGAGGAATCAGCCTGTCGCAGCTCTGTGGCCGGGGGCTCGGGAGGCTGCACACACCGCCACTGCAGCTCAGATCTAACTACCCAGCTCTCCAACGAGACAGACTGCAGCAGGGCTAGTCAGTCCAGGAAGGCACCTGCCTGAGCAGAGCATCCAACTCCTCCAAGAGCTAAAAATGCCTTCAGTCCAGCCCCTCTTGCTGGCTGCCTCGGCTTCCACACCTCAGGGGCTTGCAAGCAGCCACCTGGTTCCTTGTCTGCAAGCAGGAAGCCCCGGGGGCCAATCTGGGGCTCCTGCACACCCTGCGGGAAGCACCGGGTTGTGATGGGCTGTACAGCCCTGCCCTGCCTGTGGTAGATTCAGGCACAGCCTCCACACAGGGATCTGGGGTGTCTCAGCAAACCCCAGGCTGCCTGGCCATGGCCCATCCCCTTCTGCAGCCGTGCCCCAGGCCACAGTGTGGGGGTTCTGTTCTCAACTAACAATATCCCAGGCACAGCAGAGAGGGTGTTCCCCTGGGAGAGCGGTCAGCCACAGAGACACCGGGACTCTCACACCCAGACAACAGTGACACCACCCACAAAGGACCCGTGCACCCTGAAAGCGTGGCACCGACTCAACCTGAGCCCAGGGAATGGGCCCACTGGCAGTGGGCGATTGGCACTCGGCCTTGGTCAGGGTCAGGCTTAGTCTGTGACCTTGGGAAGCCAGTCTGAGACTGGATAGACTTGTGGTAAGAAACAGAATCAAACTCATTGTCCACCCAAGCTTGCTGACCCTAAAAATACCTGCCTTGACCAAAAAGTCCCTGCCAGCCTCCAAGGGACCCCTCAGTGGAGTCTCAATCCCATGCCTCTTCCCGAGCTGTGCCAACGCCAACCACGTAGTGGAGCCTGTGTGCACTGTGTGGGTGCAAGTCTCATTCCACCAAGAATTAACAGGAACCCAACTGGGGTTCCCTTCAGTCTCTTCAAGCAGATCCCACCAAGACCCCTGACAACAGGGCTGGGGCTCACAGCTGTGTGTGAGGAAGCGTGTCCCACGGCATGCGACTGTGTGCACACTGCCAGACTGTGCTGTGCATCCACGCACCCTTGCTGCTGCTGTGTCACATGCTGTGTACCGCTCCCACACAGCCACGCTGGGGCCAGGGCTGTGCACCGGCAGGCTCCCTGGGGCTGGGCCATCAGCTTCGTCTTACACATCCAGGGACACAGCCCAGCAGGGAGTCACCAGGCAACGCTGGCTGTTTTTTCTTTGTCCTGAGGCGTCACACCCTTGCCTGACCTCTGCCCCCCAGAGCCCCGGAGAACAAGACTGCTCCACGGATCCTCAGTGCTGCTCAGAGGACATGCCAGGAGGCCTCAGGTCCTCAACACCGGGATGCTGGCGCTCAGGGGCCACAGCACGGGCCAGGGTCCGGTCTCTGTGCAGGCGTGGCCCCCAGCCATGTGGAGTCCATCACAGGGACGTCAGCACTGCTCCTGGGCTGCCAGCACTGTCCTCGAAACACAGCAGCCACGGCATTTGGCAGCCTTACCGCGCAGCGTGGGCACCACCAGGGTACTCCCGGTGCCGAGCAAGAGGAGACCTGTGGTCTACGAAGCTTCTGGAGCTGGGAGAGTCTGCTGGGGAAAGTGGTAGGAGCCACAAGGCCGGCTTGGCTGAGAATGGCCAGCAAGCCCAAGAGCCCTCTGTGACCTGGGGCCCCCAGATAGCATGGGGTGGTCCCCTGGTGTAGCCCTCACACACTGAGCACTGAGCACCGGCGGGGCCAGGCACGTGGGCGGTGGTGGGTGAACAAGAGCTCGCAAGCAGCGTGCACCCCAGCAGGAGACGCACAGCCACTTCTGGGGTCCCCTGGAAGCCCCTATGCAGTCTGAGAGTCTCCTGTGGCTACCTGACCCCACCCAGACTTCTCCCCCCACGCCCCCCAGTGCCAGGTCCCATCAGCAAGGTTTGCTCTGCGTCCCACCTGGACGTCTCTCTCCTCTTTCAGTGTCCACCTGGTGTCCCTGGGCAGGAGCCTTCCTGTGCTCATGCTCCCCCTTGGCAAGGGACAAGGACAGGAGCTGACTTCTGTGGCAAAGTCCAGCCTGGCCTCGCGGACTGTCTGGTGACCCGTGGTCCCGCTGCTTGCCGTTCTGCCCAGGCTGGGGCAGGGAAGCTCACAGAGTGGGCGTGCGACAGCACAGCTGGGACCGGCCCTCACCTAGGGTACCTGCGATCTGTGCTGGGGCTGTGGCCAAGGCAGGAGGAAGGGGCACACACGTGAGCTCACAGCCTTCCCATGCAGGCCACCCCTGGAATGTGGGGGTGGGTGGCCCCGAGTGCTGGGCGCTGGCTGTGCGGCCTTCCTGGAGTGGGTGCAAGGATAGCGAGGTGCATGGAGTGAGGACCAGCGGGGTCCTCCATTGAATCCTCCACATTCACCCCCAGGGCAGCAGGGCGTCCGCGAGCTTTCCTGGCCCAGGGAGAGGAAGGGCTGAAGCCACGGCTCTGAGAGAAGTCCTCATGTTTGGCCCCTGCACTGCAGGCCCACTGAGCTGTGTGTCCAGATGGGCACGCATGTGTCGCTGAGCTGTGTGTGTATCCAGATAGGTACACGTGTGTCACTGAACTGTGCATGTGTCCAGATGGGCACGCGTGTGTCACTGACCTGTGTGTGTGTCCAGATGTATACGTGTGTCACGGAACTGTGCGTGTGTCCAGATGGGCACACGTGTATCACTGAGCTGTGTGCGTCCAGATGGGCATGCGTGTGTCACTGAGCTGTGCATGCGTCCAGGTGGGCATGCGTGTGTCGCTGAGCTGTATGTGTCCAGATGGGTACACGTGTGTCACTGAGCTGCACATGTGTTGTGGAGCTGTGTGTGTGTGTGTGCGTGCGTGTCGCTGAGCTGTGCGTGTGTCTTGTAACATGGTGGGTTACATGTCAGCATCACAGCAAGGTCTGCATGGGATTACCTGGCAGGTGCCCACTGGAACCCCAACACGCGTGTGTCTCAGACCAGGCCTAACTGCATCCTGGACTTTGGCTCCTTTGGGAGGCACAGGTTAAGCTCAGTGGACAGACAGGCCCCAGAAACACCTTCCCATCTCCTAATGCCAGCTCCTAGCAGGCAAAGGCCAGGGGTCCAGCAGTGCAGTCCTCACTGGTCTGATCGGACATTCCTGGAGGTTCTGGCCACTTTGCAGGAATGTGTGAGGGGCCCCAGCTGGTTTACCACTGGGGTCTGGGTCTGCATGGTGCAAGGTACTTGCTGGGGGCTGCCGAGGGGCAGGCAGGCTGAGGGGGGCAGCTCCACCTGTGCTCTCAGGGGCTGGCGTCCTCTGCTCCTCCGTCCAAGTCCGGCATGGAGGGGGCAGTCTGCTGGGGGGAGTCGGCGGGTCAAGGCCGGCGGGCCTGAGCATGGGGCAGCAGGCTGGCCTCGCGCTCCCCCAGGACGTCTCGGGTCACCGTCTGTGCAGCCCGCGCCGCCCGCGGTTATTTATGACCCCTCCCCCCCTCCCCGGCGGCGGCAGCGGCGGCTCCGGCCTGAGCCCGGCGGCGGAGGGCTCCGAGCGGGGGGACCACGAGCAGCGACGGCGTGGCGCCAAGACCAGCGGTGGGCCGATTTGGTCCACACAGCCTGCTAACATGCAGGCCAATTCTAGGGTTAAACCCCCGGGGAAATTCTAGGGTTAAACTCTGCCATGCCCCCCCCCTTCTGCCCTTCTGAGAGATGCCAGAAAGTGTGGCCCCCGCTGCAGGGGTTGGGGAAGGGGGGGCGGGCAGGCCAGGAAACAGGCAGGTCCCATAGGCAGGAGACCTGGGCCCTTGGGCAGAGGGTCCACTTCCTCTAGAGAGGTGCAGCCAGCAGCAGGAGGGGCATGAGGGAGCCCCGCCCTGCCCCCTCCCCAGTGCTGTGGACAGGTGGCCACACAGGGCCTTCCACCTGGCCTCTGGTCAGTTCTGACCACTGGTTCCCACATCTCCTGGGAGGAGCAGCCATGGGGACATCACACCTGAGAGCGATGGCTGTCACATGTGGGGTCATGCACTGTCTCCGCTGACCCCAGACGCTCCAGGAGGAGCCCCAAGGGAAGCGGCATGGGGGAGGGAGCAGGCAGCTGCATTTGGGCTCCGGTTCCTGCGCTGAGGGGAGGTGGGCAGTGCCTGCCCGTGAGGAGCAGCAGAGTGGACACCATGATCAGCTTCCTGGTCACCAATGGCCACTTCATGTAAAGTGGGAGCTGCTGTCTGGGGCTGCCCCCTCACTCCAAGCTCCTCCCTTGAAGAAGGTGCTGGTACCCACAGGCTGTAGTCGGCCCAGTTCAGCCCCTGGGGCCCGGTGAGGCTGGAGGTGTGATGGGGTGGGCACAGCCAGGGGTTCACAGAGGGGAACAGAAACGTGCTGGCGCCACTTCAGGGACCCCTCCCACCTCTCGGTCCCATCTGCCACTGGAGTTCCCTCCCGGGTGCAGCAGCCCTGACCCGGCTGTGAGTAGGGGAGGTGCCAGGTGCAGGGTGAGGGGCAGCGGCCTCAGGAGAGGTCCCTCACCCGGGACCAGATGCCTCTCAACCCGGAGACCACAAAAGGCCCTCCCCAGCACCCAGGCTCCCGCCCACGCCCACCGGGGAGGTGGCCCCCCTTCCCCGGCCCCACAGCCAGAAGTTTCTCACTAGTGGGTGCCCATGTGGAGTCCAGCTGCCCCCAGCAGCGACACTGGCCACGAGGGGCATCCGCGCACTCACTCGGGTCCGCCCTGCTCCCGCCCTCGCCCGTCAGGGATGGGGCTGGGGGTGTCGCGCCGCGCCCCCGCCCGCGGGAACCCGGTCGGCCGTCACGCGCCCCCCGCGGGAGCCCGCGCCCGCCCGCCGCGCCGGGGCCGTTTAAATGGGCCAAGTTGTGGCGGCGGCGGCGGCGGCGGCGGCGGCGGGAGTCTCCGAGTCCCCGCCGGGCGGGCGCGCGCCAGTGGACGCGGGGGCGCGGCGGGCGTGTGGGGCGGGGCGGGGCGAGGCGGGGGCTCGGGACCCCCGAACAGGGCGGGAGCAGGGCCGGCGACTCCGGGACTCTCCACGGCCCGGCGCGCCAGGCCTCGGGCTAGCGAGCGGGCGCAGGTGGCCGGGACGCGGGACCCCGGGCGCCCCGCTGAGCCCCAGCGCCCCGGAGGCGGCGGCGCTGGGCGAGTCGGCTCCCGCAGCCCAAAGTCTCGCCTGCCGGCCGCGCAGTAGTGCGGGGCGTCGGGGCGCGGGGACAGGCAGCGTGGGTCCGCCGGCCGTGGCGACCCAACTCCGGCCCCGGCCCCGACCCCGGCCCCGGCCCCAGCCCCGACCGGCGTAAGTTGCGCCGGAGGCGGAGAGCCGGGCTCGCGGCCGGCGCGGGCCATGCCGGCGGTCAAGAAGGAGCTCCCGGGCCGCGAGGACCTCGCCCTAGCCCTGGCCACCTTTCACCCGGCGCTGGCCGCCCTGCCGCTGCCGCCGCTGCCCGGCTACCTGGCGCCGCTGCCCGCCGCCGCCGCCCTGCCCCCGGCCGCCTCGCTGCCCGCCCCGGCCACCGGCTACGAGGCGCTGCTGGCCCCGCCGCTCCGCCCTCCGCGCGCCTACCTCAGCCTGCACGAGGCCGCCCCGCACCTCCACCTGCCCCGGGACCCGCTGGCCCTCGAGCGCCTGGCGGCCCCCGCGGCCGCGGCGCCGGACTTCCAGCCGCTGCTGGACAACGGCGAGCCCTGCATCGAGGTCGAGTGCGGCGCGAACCGCGCGCTGCTCTACGTGCGCAAGCTGTGCCAGGGCAGCAAGGGCCCGTCCATCCGCCACCGCGGCGAGTGGCTCACGCCCAACGAGTTCCAGTTCGTCAGCGGCCGAGAGACGGCCAAGGACTGGAAGCGCAGCATCCGCCACAAAGGTGCGGGGAGGCGCGGGCCGCCCGCGCGCGCGCGCTCCCTGGGGACCCGCGGCCGCGACCCGGAGGGGGCGCTGCAGCCCCAGGGCCGCCCTCGCCCCGCCCTCGCGCGGATGCCGGGGTGGACGCGGGCAGCTTGCCCCGGGGCTGCGGACGACCGCCGGCCGGCCGCCCCTCCGCGTTTTCCCCTGCGAGGTTCCTGGGCATCGAGGCCCAGAGGAAGTTTGCGGGAACTCGGGAGCGCAGGTGGGAGGCGGGCAGGAAGGGACGCGGAGCCGCGGGTTACCGCGGGAATGGAGGGGCGTGCGCGCGGGGGAAGCTGTGAGAGCAGGTGCGGGCCGCGCGTTGTGCGCGCGCCTGCGGGAGTATGCGGGCGCCTGGCTCCCAGAGCGTGACCCGGGAGCGCTTGGAAAGTTGGGGCCCGTGCTCGCTGCTCCGCCGCCGGGTCCCCGCGGCTCCGCTCACCTGCTCCCCAGCCCGACCGACCTCCTCCGCCCGGCTCCCGGCTCCAGCGCGGCCGGCCTGGAGAGGGTGGAGCGCGGGAGGAGGGGCTCGCCCCGCACTGGAGTTTCAGAGCCCGCGGGTGGCGTCCGGGAGGGCGCGGCGGCGCGGAAGTTAGGAGGAGGCGGTGTGGGAGGCGCGGTGTGAACGCCCCACAGCAGCCCGAGGCTCCGCTGCCTGCCGGCCAGCCGCTCACCGGCACCGCCGCTCGCCTCGCAGGGAAAAGTCTGAAGACGCTTATGTCCAAGGGGATCCTGCAGGTGCACCCTCCGATCTGCGACTGTCCCGGCTGCCGCATCTCCTCCCCGGTGGTAAGACGCCAGCGACGCTCAGGGGACCTGGGTGTGTGTGTGGGGGGGGGGCTCCTGGGAGGGGTCGGCGGGGGAGGGGCCGGGCATTGTGCTCCCAGAGGGGGCGGGAAGCCCCTGTCAGGCTGGATGGGTAGTGGACCCTGCCTGCTCTGCGGCCTCTCCCCCTGTCCCCAGGACATTCGGGTTTCACCGCCCTCCCCGGGTGGCGACCTTGGAGCCGGCATCTGGTCCCAGGGTGTGATTGTCCTCTGGCCAGGGTTTGCCTTCCAGGTGGCACCAGGATGGGGGTGAGTGATGTGTGTGTGGGTGCTGGGCCTGGTACCCCCGCAAGGGCTGGGGTAACCCAGTGTACTGTGGACACAGAGCCTCCTGAGTGTGGGGTCTTTGCATTGTGGGCCTTCAGAGTGCAGAGAACTGGAATTGTGGGCTGGCTCAGCCTCCTACCGGGGGCCGACAACCTGTGCACGTTGTCTCTGGCCTGGGGAGCATGCGGCATTGGGCTGCTGACTTCTAGGCAGGTGTGCCTGGCCCTGGGCAGGTGTCCGTGGAGCTGGGCAGGTGTGTGTGACTTCTGGACAGGTGTGCGTGGCCCTGGGCAGCCAGGCTGGGCAGACTGGTCTGAGAGTTGCTTCCCGGGGGCCAGGATCTGTGCCCTCCCAGGAGGTGAGGGAGGTCCCCTTGGCTTGCCTACTCTGGACTGGCGGTTAGGGGTGCTGTCTGGGTTCCTCATGGCAGCCTAGGAGCCACGGATGTGAAGAGAGGCTCTCAGACATTTGGCACATTGGTCGGGCACGCCCACAGCCGGTCTGACGCTAACAGCCTCGCACACACTGGAGTTCACGCGAGCTCATGACACACACGGGCGCGGCCCTGTGCCCTGGCTGTTCGATGGCTGTGCTGGAACTGTCACCACCCCTGCCTAGGCTGAGCTCCCTCTCCACTGGAGAAGGGTCCTGTGTGCTCTCATGGGCAAATCGTGGGGAAGGAGGGGGCAGAGCCTGCAGAGGCCCTGGCGCTGGTCTGCAGCGGGCGGGACTTCCCAGCACAGCGTGCTCTGCAGGCCACTGACTGACAGGCAGAGGCCCGGGCACAGGCAGCCCTCCCGCCTGCCGCCTGTGCCCTGCTGTCACTGGATATCTGGGCCCTTGGCCCTGGCAGGGTCTCAGGAGTGGACACTGGGCTGCAGGCCTCAGGCTGTGCTACCTCAGCTGCACCAGTGCTGCTGGCCCTGTCTCACTGAGCACTGCAGATAGAAAAATACAGGGGCTCCTCAGGTGGGCCCAGTGGGTTCTCGAGGCATGTGTGGGGGAGGTCATGGCTCCTGGACCCTGGAGAGAGGATTTCAGCTTCCAGGTTCCCAGACCCTGGGGGGGGGGGGGGGGGGGGGCAGGTCCACCTGGAGGTGATGGTAGTTCTAAGTCGCAAGTGCCTTTCACCTGGAGGTCAGCACAGCGGCCACCCCAGCTGACCTCTGAGAGTGGAGTACACTAGCTCAGGTGGTGCTGTGGGGGATAGCGAGCCCCTCCCTGCCACCCCCTCCTCAAGCTCATGGGTGTGGTGAGAAGAGAGGGGTCCCAGGAGGCCCCAGTGACGGAACAGAGGAGACGGATTTAGGTGCCGGCAAGGCCTGTGCTGCCTGCCCGAGCCAGCAGCCCACTAGTGAACAGGGAAGCGCTGTTCTGTGTCTGCACCTGGGCTTTGAGCTGTGGCAGCTCTGTTCCTCCTAGCTCAAGGCACCCCAGCTGTTTGCACTCACCCAGCGGGGGCAGGGGACAGGGAGAAAAAAACCTACCCACCACAGCCTGAGGGGCAAAGGGTCTGGGTCAGGTGACCTGGTGGCCCTGTGACTGCAGAGGTTCAGCAGGTCCACTTTCCAGTCCTCCCAGGCCCTGGGATGGCCTGAGCTGGGCCCTGCAGGGTGTTCGCAAAAGAGGGGCGGGACTTTGTCCACATGGGGGTGGATTTGGGTGTTCACACAGAAGGCTGGGGTCGTCAGACTGGCACTCACTGAGACAGCTGTGGGCTGAATGGACATCCGCCAGGGTCAGCCCTCAGAACATATCCCCAGGGCTTTCTGAGGCTGTGCAGGTGGGGCTGCCTCACATGTGGGCCCAGAGAGTGGCCACACCCGTCCTTCCGGCTGGGCCCCCACCCACAGGCCCCCTGCATCTTGACCCAGCCCGGGTAGGGTGGGGCAGGGAGGAGCTGGGTGTGTGTGCAGGGGTCCTGACTGATGCCTTGTCTCTGGCCAGCTGTGGCTCCTGATCAGGAGGCGAGTCCTCCAGACTTGAGGGTCCCCCCACTGTGGGTGGGGGTGGTGGGAACAGCAGTCAAGGACTGTTGCACACCTGAGCCCTGCGGGGGGCCGCACCTGGGGTGTGGGCCGGGGTCAAGGCCCAGGAGGCCGTGTCTGTGCAGCCCATCTCCCCTCTCCTCCCACCCACCCAGAACCGGGGACGGTTGGCAGACAAGAGAACGGTTGCCCTAACACCCACACGGGTCCTCAAGAAGGAACGGAACCCCAGCTTCTCCGCCAGCGATGGTGACAGTGATGGGAGTGGCCCAGCCTGTGGGCGGCGGCCAGGCTTGAAGCAGGAGGATGACCCCCACATTCATATCATGAAGAGAAGGTACTCACACCAAGGCTTGGTGGGACGCACTCCCTCCCCTCCTTCCGCCGTGCAGTGGTCACTTGGCAGCAGCAGCCCCCGGGGCCTGCACCGCCTGGTGGGATGCCCCACTCCTCCAAGCCAGTGGCTGCTGCAGACGTCACTCTGATCTGGTCCCCACCTGGCCAGAGCAGCGCCGGCAGCTGGAGTTCTGCTTCCCTAGCGGAGGGGCTGCAGCGCCTGCTTCAGCAGAGCTCAGCTCTGAGTGGAGCAGGAGGGGCAGTGACGTGGTCTCAGCATTGTCCTTGCTGGTGCCCCCGGGCCTGTCCCGGAGGAGCTGCCCCATGCCCGCCCTAGAGACAGGTCCCACCCACCTGTTGTCCAGCTGTCGGTCCCGGAGGCCAGGCTGACTCCTCTTCCTCTCTCTGTAGAGTCCACACCCACTGGGACGTGAACATCTCCTTCCGAGAAACCTCCTGCAGGTAGGCGTCCCCAGCCCGGGCTGTGCTGCTCACCCGCTCAGGGACAGGAGGCAGCTGGCTGAGGCCCCTCCGGGCTGGGAGTGTGCTGGACGCTCCAGGGTCTCAGTCATTTCGACCGAGTGGTTGCAAGCACTGTCTGCCCAAAGCCGTGGTCTGCCCTCCAGGAGGTGAGAGTGGTGGCGGGAGTGTAGCGGTTCGCGAGGGAAAGGCCACGTTTGGAATGAGGGAGGGGCATGGCTGGTTCACCTGGACGCTCGAGGCCTTGGTGCTGGGCTGTTGGACATCGTCCTCCAGGCGAGGGGCTGCTAGGAGCTCCTTGGCAAGGGAGTGACCAGCTTGTTTCGGAGGCATGCGAGTCCCAGGCCCTAGAGGGGCAGGGGTCGGTCAGTCCACCCGCAGAGCCCAGCTGAGGCTTCTGGTCAGTGGGGTCCTGTCTCTCCCCGTGGCCTCCAGGTGAACACAGCAAGGACCCACAGGCAGGCAGTGGGCGCCTGGCAGCAGGACCAGCTCTCTGCGACCCCGGCTATGAGGGGCCAGGTCCTCCTCCTGGCTGCGCACCAGATGTGTTATTATTTATGTCTCTGAGGTCTTCTGGATCCTGGAGCCAAATTACAATAAAAACATCTTTAAACTTATTTCCACCTCATTTTGGAGTTGCCAGCTCAACTGATCATTTTTATGAACTGTCATGAACATTGATGACATTTTATGAGCCTTTTACTTGGGATGCTACAGGATAAATTAGTTGGCAAGGCCTGTAGGGAAAGCCAGGGGCCATTCTGCTCCAGGAAAGCTGCTCCTGTCCCGGCCTGGGGTGTGAGGGTGGCACTGATGGCCGGAAGCAGGGCCTGTGGCAGCCTGGGAAGAGGCCAGGCCTGGAGGGATTTGGGCCTTGGTCCTGCGTGCTGGCAGGGGCATGGCTCGCAGGCCTCAGAGGAGCTGGCTGACGGGTGGCATTGGGCCCCCTGCCTGGCTCTGTCCCCCACCTGGCTCTGTCCCCCACCTGGCTCTGCAGAAGCTGCCTGTCTGTGCCTCCTTCTTGTGCCCCACGGAGCCCAGCAGGTGTTCCCTACAGCTGTAGTTGGCAGGTGGGGATGTGGCCCCCTTCTGAGGTGCTTAGGTGGCAGGGACTGGGCAAGGGCTGTGCTGAGGGAGCCCAGGGTAGGGATGCCTGTGGGGAGTGGGGTCTCTGTCCCACCTCCCTCCGCTTCCCCACGGGGCCTCCTGCCATTGTCCTCCTGTCCCTCCCTTTCCCTGCACCGCCTCCCCCACAGCCTCCCCGACAGGACCTTGTGTGTGTCGGGCACAGAGGCTGTTTCATGGCTGCAAGAACCTACTGCTGGATGCCTGGGACGTCCCAACCTGGTGTGTGACAGTTTACTTTGTGGATGCTATTTGTCTATTTGTTTATTTACCTATATATATAAGAAACACTGAGAGAGTCAGATGGACGGAGATCTCCCATATACTGGATCATTCCCCAAATGCTTGCAACAGCCAGGGCTGGGCCGGGGGAAAGCTGGGAGCCAGCAGCTCCATCCAGGTCCCCGAGCACTTGGGCCGGCACTGCTGCCTCCCAAGGGGCACGTTAGCAGGAGGCTGGAATTGGGAGTCGGAGCTGGGACTCGTGCCCAGGCGCTCCGGCCTGGATGCATCCTGACCCGCTGCACCACCGTGCCTGCCCCTTTGTGGCTCTTTGAGTAAAGCCAGAGAGTGCCCAGGTGACCAGAATAGGTTTCAGGACCAGGCCTTCTTGGGGCCCAAGGAGCAGACTCCCAAGATGGAAGCCAAGAACGTGGATGAGACGGTCGCCTGCACAGCGCCTTGGCCCGAGTGCCCACTCAGTGGGTGGCAGAGCCCCTGGCTGTGGCAGTGGCTGCTGTGGACAGAGAGGACGGACGGATGGGCTGCCCCCGGGATCTCAGAGGGGCCAGTTCCCCTCCTGCAGACCCTGGGCACGGTGGGAGGTGGTTTGTGCAGGGGTCTCTGGCAGGCATGGGCCTGCTTCTGGGCCCCCTCAGCCCCCTCCACCTGCTGAGGACAGCACTTCTGGCTCCAGCTTCCCCGCAGGGACGAGACTCCTGCCAATTAATCCTGTAAAGGACTTACCCCCACTTGACGTCCTGCTGCACGGGCTGTCTTTCCCGAGGAGGTGGGGGTGGGGAGCAACGGTGCATCTGGGTTTCCTCCGAGGCGCGGGGGCCCAGCCCGGATGGAGTCTTTGGTGCCGAAACTGATCTGCTTAGGGGCCAGCCCTGGATTAGCCCAGCTCCAGCCAGCCCCGGCCAGGGGGGCTGGGGGCTATTTAATGAGGTTTAGGGTCGGTGCCCAGGTCACTGATGGAGGCTCCACCGGGCCACTAGTGTCACTCAGGAGGCTGCTGCGTTACAGGTGGGCAGGGGCGGGCGTGTGCAAGGGAGGGGTGTCTGTGTGATGGGTGAGACACCGGCCCTGCTGCTTCTGGGTCCCTGACCCTGTGGCGCCCTTCTCTGCTGCCCGGGGTTGCCCACAGAACCCCAAGAGGGAGGCAGGTGGCCGCAGCTTCCTCCCTCTTCTCTCTGGAGAGTCTGTGGAAGAAAATCTGGGACAAGAGTTAAATGCACATTCATTGCTTCCCTGGGGCTGGCTGTTGAGGCTCCCACCTGGCCCCACACACCCTGGCCCCCGCGGCGGGCTGTAGGACCTTGGTCTGCACTGTTTGTTCATCTGAGGGGACTGCAGGTTCCACTCGCTGTGAGCACACAGGGGACACAGTCCTCTCTGGGCCTGTCCCGTGGGGGTGACCCCCACCCCCGTGCAGGTTCCCCTCTGCCTGGTGGGCGCCTGGCAAGGAACGGGGCTACAGCCGTTCCCTCTGTAGAGTTCCGTTCAGACGGGCCACCCGGCTCTGCACACACCCTCTGGGGGCAGTGGTGGGGTTTGTGTGCGTGGTGCCACCTTGCTTTGGTCTTCTCCATGGTTGCGCATTCGTGTGGCATCACAGAGGACCCACGTGGCATTGCCTGCTCGCCCGGCCAGGCTGTCTGTCCACACTGGCCCCGGCGGCGCTCAGGGACTCTGCTTCCCGTCTTGCTCTGCAGCCAGGACAGCCTTCCTGCCCTGCTATCCAGCGTGCATCGCAGCCGCCACCTCGTTATGCCCGAGCACCAGAGCCGCTGTGAATTCCAGAGAGGCAGTGTGGAGATTGGCCTGGGACCCGCAGGTGAGGAGCCTGCCCTGCCCGAGTAAGTGCTCAGAAGCCCTGGCTGCCCTGGCCGGCTGCCAGAGAGGCCTGCAGAGGAGGCGGGAGGTGTGAGGCCGGCTGTCCCCTGGGGCCCCGTGTGATGGTAATTGTGTTAATCCCAGCCAGCCAGCCTGGCAGGCAGGAGGCTCTACCCTAGCTGCTGTTGGGGTGGCTTTGGAATTGCCGCTGCCTCACAGGGGCTCAGAAATGCCCCACCCCCACCCCAGAAAGGCTCACGTGGGCAGGAGTGTGTTCACCCCCATGCACCAACCCCAGAGTTTGCCAGCTCCAGTCCTGCTCCTCCAGGCTCCCAGGAGGGAAGGGGCCTGTCCCCAGAGAGGGGGCTGCGGCCCGGACCTTGAGGGTGGGCAGGGGCACTAGCCCAGGAGCTCGGAGGGAGGGGCACAGCTCAGCTCCAGCTGAACGCAGGGCAGGAAAGGCGCTGGGGAGCTGGACTCGGAGACCCTGGGCTGGGCCGCTGCTGGCATGAAGGCTGGGTGGAGGCCCCGCACCCCCACAGGACGCCTGGGCACCCCCACCAGGGGCCCCATGTGCCTGGGGAGGCCTCTGTGGGTGGAGCGTCTTGAGGCGGGTGAGCAGATAAAATCTAATTGCCCCATCGATCAGGCAGAACCAGGAGGGCCCCACATGATTGAGATATTCTGAGCCGCAGGCCCTCCCCTGCCGCCCACACACAGGGAAACCTACTCAGGTACACGGCATGTGCCTGTGTGTGTGCACAGACGTGTGCAGCTGCTCCCAGCTGGGGGCCGCATGCTCCATGCTGCAGACACACGTCATCCACACCCATGTCACCCTGCAGTGCTCACACGCGCATGCCCCATGTCAATCCCATGCCTGAGGCTTCAGTCCTGGCCCCGCCCCAACACTGATGCCCGGGACCCTGGGCAGGACAGGTGGGGCTGGGAGGGTCCTGACGCCACGGTCAGCAGTGCATCTGCCCGTGGGTGCACGTGTGCTGCTGTAACTGCAGAGCAGTGTGCCCTCCTCGTGGAGCCAGCCGGGGGGGCTGTGCCTCGCTGTGGGTCCTCTCCACCCCCCAGTGTCACCTCTTCCAAGCTGTGACTTTCTCGGGCTTTCTAGGAACAGAGAGGAAGCCCCCGGCCCCCAGTAGAAAGCCTAGGGGGAACTTCCACTGTGGAGAAAGGGAAACAGATTGTGGCAAACTGAGCTGTCTGGACCCTGCGGGTTGTGCGTGTGTCCAGGTTCCCACAGCAAGCGTGGGCACGGCCCCTCCTGCCCGCTGGGCTCTGACACCTGAGGCCGAGGGGCTGACACTGGCTTCCTCAGGGCCCCTGTGCAGCTCATGCCACCCCCGCCTCAGCTGGCTCCATATGCCCTGAGCTGGCGATGGGGTGGGGTCCCTGTCTGGGGCAGGGCCTGAGGCTGGGTCGGGGGCCAGTGGCAGTGAGGTGGCTGAGATCAATAAGTTATTAGCACCATTCTGTCAGCTGTAATGTGCAGATTGATCGGGCTCTCACTGCAGCAGCACTTCCCCAGCCTGATAAAAATGACAGATTAAGGGAATAAGAAGAAGGAATTAGGTTCTGGAGCTGACGGCAGGGCTTCCGGAGGGGGCCCAGGTTTGGAAGCCCCAACCTGCCGAGACCTCCTGGCGGGCTCGGGTCACACAGGGCTGCCCCTCACCCCACCCACTCGGAGGCCTCCTGAGGGTAGGGGGTGCTGGAGGTCAGACACCCAGACCCTGGGCACAGGGGGCTAGGAGCAAGCTGGGCTGTGGTCTTGGATGCTGGATGTATGACCTGAGACCTGGGGCGGGGCCTCGTGGCCAGGCAGGCTGGGGCTGTGTGGGCTGGGAGGCTGCTCGGGCTCCCTGCGGAGTTTGGAGTCTGGCTGAGCAGTGAGCAGGTATGTGACAGCCAAGGCCAAGTACTGGCTCTGGCAGGACCGAACAGAGAGGGACTGCGGTCTCCTGGGGGCCTCAGGGTGCAGGCAGTCGGGGTGCAGGCAGTCGGGGTGTGAGCAGTCGGGGTACGAGCAGTCGGGGTGCGAGCAGTCGGGTGTGAGCAGTCAGGGTGTGAGCAGTCGGGGTACGAGCAGTCGGGTGTGAGCAGTCAGGGTGCAGGCAGTCGGGTGTGAGCAGTCGGAGTGCAGGCAGTCGGGGTGCAGGCAGTCGGGGTGCAGGCAGTCGGGTGTGAGCAGTCGGGGTACGAGCAGTCGGGTGTGAGCAGTTGGGGTGCAGGCAGTCGGGTGTGAGCAGTCGGGGTGCAGGCAGTTGGGGTGCAGGCAGTCGGGTGTGAGCAGTCGGGGTGCAGGCAGTTGGGGTGCAGGCAGTCGGGTGTGAGCAGTCAGGGTGCAGGCAGTCGGGTGTGAGCAGTCGGGGTGCAGGCAGTCGGGGTGCAGGCAGTCGGGTGTGAGCAGTCGGGGTACGAGCAGTCGGGTGTGAGCAGTCGGGGTATGAGCAGTCGGGTGTGAGCAGTCAGGGTGCAGGCAGTTGGGGTGCAGGCAGTCGGGGTGCAGGCAGTCGGGTGTGAGCAGTTGGGGTGCAGGTAGTCGGGGTGCAGGCAGTCGGGTGTGAGCAGTCGGGGTGCAGGCAGTTGGGGTGCAGGCAGTCGGGTGTGAGCAGTCGGGGTGCAGGCAGTCGGGGTGCAGGCAGTCGGGTGTGAGCAGTCAGGGTGCAGGCAGTCGGGTGTGAGCAGTAGGGGTGCAGGCAGTCGGGTGTGAGCAGTCGGGTGTGAGCAGTTGGGGTGCAGGCAGTCGGGGTGCAGGCAGTCGGGTGTGAGCAGTCGGGGTGCAGGCAGTTGGGGTGCAGGCAGTCGGGGTGCAGGCAGTCGGGTGTGAGCAGTCAGGTGTGAGCAGTCGGGGTGCAGGCAGTCGGGGTGCAGGCAGTCGGGGTGTGAGCAGTTGGGGTGCAGGTAGTCGGGGTGCAGGCAGTCGGGGTGTGAGCAGTTGGGGTGCAGGCAGTCGGGGTGCAGGCAGTCGGGGTGTGAGCAGTCGGGGTGCAGGCAGTCGGGTGTGAGCAGTCGGGTGTGAGCAGTCAGGGTGCAGGCAGTGGGGTGTGAGCAGTCAGGGTGCAGGCAGTCGGGTGTGAGCAGTCGGGTGTGAGCAGTCAGGGTGCAGGCAGTCGGGGTGTGAGCAGTCGGGTGTGAGCAGTTGGGGTGTGAGCAGGACTTTCTTCCTTGCCTCTCCAGCAGGCCCTGAGCAGGGCTTGCTGATTTGCCCAAGAGCCTGGATGGGCTGGCTGGGGACAGCAGGGCACCTGTGGGGCCCTGAGCTGCTGCCTGGGATTCCCGTGACTCCCCTCAGTTCTGCAAGCGCACCCCAGGGCCCAGGGCAGGGCCATCATGCTGTGGCACCCTGAGTAAAGGTGGGCACCCCTCAGGCTGAGCCAGGTCCCGCCCAGCCCAAGCCACGGTGGGGCCACTCTGCCCATCACAGGTGACCTGTTGGGCAAGAGGCTGGGCCGCTCCCCGTACGCCAGCAGTGACTGCTCCGCGGAGAAGAAGGCCCGAAGCGAGTCCCCTCCAGGTGGGAGCCTGACCCGGAGGCGGGGCACAGGTCACTGGGAGAGGGAAGGGCTCCTCACCTCACTCCCCTGCACAGAGGCCCTGCTGCTGCCGGACCTGGGGCCCAGTATGGCCCCCGAGGACCACTACCGCCGGCTCGTGTCAGCCCTGAGTGAGGCTGGCGCCTGCGAGGACCCTCAGCGGCTGTACCACCTGGGCCTCCCCAGCCACGGTATGTGCCCTGCCCAGGAGGGATCCCCACAGCCCCCAACACCCATGGGTGCTGGGCAGGGGCCGGCTGTGTGGATGATGGGGTGGGAGGCCGGACCACCTAGGGGTCTGCTTTATTCCTGGGGAGTCCAGAGTCCAGGAGGTGCAGGGTCAGAGCACAGTGTGGCCGTGGACTGTGGCCCCCAGAGTGAGACTGGGCAGGATCCACACCGGGAAGCCCAGAGAGGCAGCACTGGGCTGCGGTGGTCTGGCCGCTGCGGCCCCAAGAGTTCCCAGAGAAGCCCCAGCTGGAGGGGGGCTGCCTGGCCCCTCTGTGCTGTGGCAACCCCCTGGACGCACAGTGTCCAGGGCCCCAGCGCCGGCTGGCGGTGGGGAGGGGGCAGGAGTTCCTCTCCTTTCACAAGGCGCCGTCCCCCAGGGCAGCTCAGGCACCAAGAGCCTGAATAATTCACCAAATGTTAATAATTTAAAAATCTTCCTTTTTAATTGCTTTGCCTGCCCTGCCTGGGGCCGGCTCGCTGGCCCGTGCGGGGGAGGGGGCGCGGCCGCCGGGGAGCTGCGAGCCGAGCAGGCTGTCAATCTCCGTCCGCGCCGCCGCCCCCGCCGCGGAGCCGACGGTAAATAACCGCGGCCGCCGGGCGGGGGCCCCGCTGGGATCGGCGCGGGCAGCCGCGCCGGCCGGGCTCCGAGGGCTGGCAGCCGGCCCAGGGCAGGACCCACCTCCGCTCTCCGGGTAATTAATTTATAAACAGAGGCGGCGGCGGCGGAGCCTCGGCAGGCGGGGACTGCCGGGGGGGGGGGGGGGGGGGGCGCGGGGGGCGGGGGCCTCGGCGGGTCGTGCTGGGCCGCGTGGAGACCGCGCCTGTTTGTGTGGGCTCGGGGGTCCCCAGGGAGGGTTGCCCGCGCCCCAGGCCCGCACCGCGCCCGCCTGTAGGCGGAACCCCCACGCTGCAGGCCCAGTGCTCGGCCTCAGAGCCCCCTTCATGTCCGGGCAGCCTTGCTCTGCTCGCCTCCTGACCCCGGCTATCGGGCACCGCCTGGCTCCTGTGCGGGGCGGGGGCTTTCCCTGCCACCTCGCTGTGGTCACCCATGCTCCCGAGCCCCTCCAATGTCTCCTCTGCCCTACAGCGCAGCCGGCGCCCCCTCTTTTCTCCTTGGGGTCCCTGGGCCAGGGATGGGGGAATCCTGGGAGGCCCCGCCTCTGGGTCACTGCTGCCCCCCCCCCCACAAGATCTCCTGAGGGTTCGGCAGGAGGTGGCAGCTGCCGCGCTGAGGAGCCCCAGCGGCCTGGAAGTCCACCTGCCGTCATCCCCAGCAGGCCAGCGCCGGAAGCAGGGCCTGGCCCAGCACCGCGACGGCGCTGCTCCAGCTGCTGCCCTGTCTTTCTCCGAGAGGTACTGGGGTGGGGCTGCCCCTGACCTCCGCGCCGGCAGGCGCCCCGTGACGCCTGTGCCAAGCCCGCCTCGGCTGTTGGCAGGGGGTCCTGAGCAGGGACGGGATGGGGGGGAGGGGAGGACCAGCGTCCTAGGCGGGAGAGTCAGGGTTGGCTCTGGTTTCCCAGTGCAGCGACTGGGCGCCCCCCCACCCCCGACCTCGGTGGGGAAGAGGTGCTGAGGCTGACCGGGGCACCCGCAGAGAGGCTGCGGGGAGTGGCTCCCAGCCTGGGGACCTGCACGTAAGTCGGGGCTCGCAGACGGCGGAGCCGTTCACGGCACAGACCCCTGAGCCGCTACCTCCCGCCGCCCCCATCGCGGCTAATCGCGCACGGGCCCGCGGGGGTCGGAGCAGGCGGGCGGCGGCGGTAATTACTGCAGCAGCCGCCTCCCGCCCGCCGGGCCAGCGCCTCCGCGCTGCCGCCGAGATTAATTGGCGCCGCCGGCGGGGGCGGGGGCGGGGAGCGACCCGGAGCCGCCATGAGCTGCGCTCTGCCTGCCCGCGGGGCCAGCAATTAGCGGAGGCGGCGGCGGTGGGCGGGGGCGCGCGCCGCTGACCCGGCTACGTCCACAGGGAGCTGTCGCAACCGCCCCCACTGCTGTCGCCCCAGAATGCCCCTCACCTCGCCCTGGGCCCCCACATCCGGCCTCCCTTCTTGGGGGTGCCCTCGGCTCTGTGCCAGACCCCAGGTGAGGAGCGCACGCGGTCCCCTATGTTTACCCGACCCCGCGGGTCCGAGTGGCGCCGAGGACGCGCTCCCACGGCCCTAACCCTAACCCTAACCCTGCCCACCAGGCTACGGCTTTCTGCCCCCCACCCAGGCCGAGGTGCTCGCCCGGCAGCAGGAGCTTCTGCGAAAGCAGAGCCTGGCCCGGTAGGTACTGCCGCGGCCGGCCGACGGGTGGGTGGCGGCCTGGCTGCCCCGGATGACGCCCGCTGTCTCTTCTCGCGGCCAGACTGGAGATGTCTGCAGAACTGCTTCGCCACAAGGAGCTGGAGAGCACGCACCGGCCACAGCTGCTGGCGCCCGAGGCCACGCTGCGCGCCCCCGACAGCGCGGACGAGCTGCAGCGGCGCGGAGCCCTGCTGGTGCTGAAGCACAGCGCGGCGCCGCTGCTGGCCCTGCCGCCCCAAGGGCCCCCGGGCCCCGGCCCCCCAACCCCGCCCCGGGACCCGGCTCGCCGAGCACCCCGGAAGGCAGGTTCGGGCTCCGCTGATCCCAGGCCCAGTGAGTCCAAAGACACCACAGGGTCCGGACTCTGGGCTCAAGATGGGTCGGAGGATGAGCCCCCAAAGGACTCCGATGGAGAGGACCAGGAGGTGGCAGCCGCTGGAACCCAGGGCTCCACCCCAGGCCAAGCCCCAGGCGCAAGGATTGGAGCGGAGAAGGGGCTTCTCTCAGGGTCCTCGCTGCCCCCTCCATTACCCTTGGGCTTCCCCTACTTCCACACAGGTGGGCACCTTCTCTCTCTCAGTGGGGTGGCCCCGGGAGAAGTGGTCTAAGCAGCAGTCTGTGTGTAAACAGCCCGGCAGACTGGCTGAGGCTGGGTGTGGGAGTCAGCAGGACCTCCAGTAACACCACACACTCCTGACCCAGGCGCTGTGGGGGGGCTCTTCGCTGATGGTGAGGCCACAGCCCCCGAGGACGTCAGCAAGTGGACGGTGGACGACGTGTGCAGCTTCGTGGGGGGCCTGTCTGGCTGCGGAGAGTACGCCAGGGTGAGGGGGAGCCCCGGGGGAGGGGGTGGGGCAGTGCCAGACGCTAGTCCCTGGAGTGGAAGGTTTGAGGTAAGCCCCCTCCCCTCACCACGCATGGAGCACCTGGCCTGTCCCCACCCCCAAGCGTGCTGCAGGGGCGTGGCCCTTCTTGGTTCTGCCAGGCTGAGCAGAGTAGCAGGTTCTGAGCCTGCTCCCCACTCCCAGGTCTTCAAAGAACAAGGCATAGACGGGGAGACCTTGCCACTGCTGACCGAGGAGCATCTGCTGACCACCATGGGGCTGAAGCTGGGGCCTGCCCTCAAAATCCGGGCCCAGGTGAGCACAGCTGGGCCACGTGGGGCAGCCCTGCAGACTCCTTCCTGGCAGGCGCCCCATCCAGGCCCCTGTCTCTGCAGGTGGCCAGGCGCCTGGGCAGAGTCTTCTACATGGCCAGCTTCCCCATGGCCCTGCCGCTGCAGCCGCCAACCCTGCGGGGCCCCGAGCCGGAACTTGCCACAGGAGAGCAGCCTCTGTCCCCAGCAGCCACCTCCCCTTACGGGGGCACCCAGCCCTGCGCCAGCCGAGACTCACCCAGGCAGGAGAACGGCTCTGGGGCTTTGCTCCCTGGAGCCCCAGACCCCTCCCAGCCTCTGTGCTGAGCAGGGGGAGGTGGGGCCACTCAAACTCCCCAGCGCCAACCCCTTCCCCCACCTATTTCTCCTGGTTTTGGACGAAAACACACAGAATCTTTGAGAAGAAAGGAGCACGTTGCCGAACACTTTCTGTGGTGCCTGCAGAGCCTGGCGCTGAGGCCTGGCTGGGTCTGCAGATGAACCAAAGACAGAGGTCGACCGGAGCAGGTGACGCCTCCCTCTGGAGCTGGCACTGTCCCCGGAGATTCCCGACCTCAGGGTCAGCTTCCTCCACGAGGCTGAGGGGCAGCCGGCAGACTGCTCGGTGCTGGTCCCTTCCCCCAAGTCCCCACCGGGTCTGTACAGCGCTTGGCCCGCTTGGTCTGTTGTGCTATGAAAATAAAGCCCTGTGCACCCTGCGCAGAGATGTGCCAGGGCCTCGGGGCACTGGGCCCTCAGTCGTCCTCAGAGAGCTGCAGCTCCTCTAGGTGGTCTTCAGGCCCCTGGGCCAGCAGCCACAGCTCCCCTGGGGCCAGCCCCGCCGCTACATCTGGGCCTCCATCTGCAAGGAGAGACCCAGGCCACATAAATTCTGCTTTATCAGGAAGAAGCCAGTCTTGGAGGTTACTCATCACTAATTAATCACAGCACTAATTAATTTATCAGGGCTGCTGCCAGAGCCAGTGAGCACACAGCAGCTGGCCTGGCATCCCCAGGGAGGGGCGTGGGCCTGGCTGAGAGCTGCCCTCCCCGGCCTGGCCCTGAGTCCCTGACAGCTTTGTGCTCAGGCAGCCACAGCCCCTCCTCCCCAAGGACCACTCACCCTCCGAGCTGCCGCTGCCCTCGTCCTCGTCCTCGTCTCCATCCTCACTCTCGTCCTTGTCCTTGTCCTCACCCTCACCCTGCGGGGCTCTCAGGGACACCAATGTCTCTGCAGGCCAAGGACAAGAGTCCACGTGTGAATCTGCTCCCAGGAACACCAGCAAAGTGGGGGCAGCTGAAGCAGGAGTGTGGGCTGGGCTCACGGCTGGGCTGGACCCCCACCCCCACCCCCGTGCTGTCAGTGGCTGGGGAGGCAAAGGCATGCAAAGGGGACCGACTGGTTTACTGGACACAGACTTGCTGGCCGCACAGCTGCGCACACCGTGGGCCCCACCTCTCTCTGGGTCCTGGGCGTCGTCTTCACTGTCCAGGTCAAAGAGGTCTTTAAATTCCATCCTGTCCTCGTGCTTCCTGTCTCCCACCTTCCGCCGTTTGACCTCTGGGAAGTTCAGGTCCTCCAGCTGGACACCAAAACCAGAGCCACAGGCTGGGGGCGGTGGGCGCGGAGGCTTGGGGGACCAGGCCCAGCCCCAAGTCTCAGTCCTGGCCCAAGGGTGGACAGCAGCTGCCAGGCCTTGCTCAAGCCCCTGGCCTTGCTCTTCTCCCCCTCCTCTCTCAGGCCTTGCCCCCACACACCCCCCTCACCAGCACCCTGCCTAGCTGCAGTGGACACGGGTGTGTTCCTCTCAGCACAAGGCTGTCCCCAGCCCACCTGCACTTGGTCCAGGGTGAAAGACAAAGCCCTCCCTGCCCTCTTGTGGCCACAGGGTGACAGCGTCCGTCCAGCCAGTCCACTCACCGGAACCCCCAGTCCACCAGGTCTGAGAGGGAGTGGCCCCTGGTCTGAGGCTCTGGGCAGTTGTGTATGATTCCTAGCACCCCACCAGCCCAGGCACTGGAGCCTCCAGGGACCCCAAGCTCTCCCCAGCCACCCCTGCCCTTTCCCAACCTCATGGTCACGAGCAGCTGGCCAGATCCGAGTCCAGCCCTGCGTACCCGCTCCTTGCCGCTGATCTCCAGCTGTATCTCACGGTCCCTCAGCTTGCGCCAGTGGCTGTAGTACTTGGCCAGTGGGGTCCCCTCTTCCCGCATCTGCTTCTCCCAGGCATCCTACAGGAGGGCGAGTGTAGGGTCAGGCAAACCCCCAAGCCCCAGCCACACTTCAGGCAGCACCACCTCCCAGGGCCCCCAAGGCTGGCTCCCAGCTGACCACCGCGTGGGGGCTGGACACGCCGAAGGAGACGGCCTGGCGGCGGCTGCACACATGCTCTGCGTTCTCCTGCAGCTTCTCCAGCAGCTGGCGTGCCTGCCGGCAGTAGTTGGCCACCTTGCATTCCCGGAGGAAGGACTTCAGCTGCAGGAGGGGAGAGGCTCAGCCACGTCCAGACACAGGGCTGTCCTGCACCAAGACTGGCCCGGGGGATTCAGCTGCCACTCGCAATGCTGGCACTAACGATCCAGCTCCCAGCTGACATGCCTGGGAAAGCAGCGACTCATGGCCCAAGTGCTTGGGCCCCCACCAGCACATGGAGAATCAATGCAGTTCCTGCCCCCCCGCCCCCGGCTCTGCCTGGCCTACCCCTAACCCTACGCCTGGTCTATGCCTGGCCTAACCCTAACCCTACACCTGGCCTATGCCAGGCCTAACCCTAACCCTGGCCTACGCCTGGCCACTGCAGCCACTTGGGGAGCGGACCAGCAGGTGGAAGACCTGTGTGTCTTTTCTGTGTCATCCTGCCTTTCAGATAAATAAAATGCATATTTAAGGAAAAAAGATTGGCCCAGGACCCATGGAAAACCATGCTGTTGTCCACCCAAGTGTGTGTGGGAGGAGGGGCAGCAAGGGCAGCCCAGGCGAAACCGAGCCTCACTCTAGGCCAAATACTGCCGTTACCAAGCACCCTGAACAAAACTTTAGCTCATGGCTAGGGCCGCAGTTCACTAGGCTAATCCTCCACCTGCGGTGCCAGCATCCCAGGTTCTAGTCCCGGTCAGGGCGCCGGATTCTGTCCCAGTTGCTCTTCAAGTCCAGCTCTCTGCTGTGGCCCAGGAGTGCAGTGGAGGATGGCCCAAGTCCTTGGATCCTGCACCCGCATGGGAGACCAGAAGCACCTGGCTCCTGGCTTCAGATCAGCGCGGTGCACTGGCCGCAGCACGCTGGCCATAGCGGCCATTAGAGGGTGAACCAACGGAAAAAGGAAAACCTCTCTCTCTCTCTCACTGTCCACTCTGTCAAAAAAAAAAAAAAACTTTAGCTCATGGCACTTCTACACCTGCCCCTGGAGAACAAGTGGCTAGACCTTGCTCGTGTGTAACCTGCCTTTCACAGACAGAAACATCAACAGGAAACACACAACCTGCAAAGCCTAAAATATTTCCTGTTTGCCTCTTCATCAAAAATGTCTGCTGACCGACGGAGCCTTGGGTCCCAAAGCACAGCTGTCCTGACTACTGGGCAACACAGGCCAGGACACACCGTGCGTGTGCACGGCTCCATGAGCCTACCTGAGAACAGGTGAGCTGAGCCAGGTGCAGCTCAGGCATGAGCTCTGACTTGCTGAGCCGACTCCACCCCCCACAGCTGCGAGGTCCACACCCCACCTCCTCAAGACGAGAACGTGGGGCCGTCAGAAAGGAGGGCCCCAATTCTGCCTAAAGTGAGGCTGACTCAATCCCCAGGGGGGCTGGCTGGGCTTCCCGAGCCTGCCCGGCTTCTCTCTCGCACCAGGAGTACAAGGGGCAGGTGGGCATCGTGTGCAATGGGTTAAGCCACCGACATCTGCATCCACATGAGTGCCAGCTGAGTCTGCTGCTCCACTTCCAATCCAGCTCCCTGCTCATGCCCCTGGGAGAGTGCTCGGCCCCTGTACCCACATGGGAGACTCGGACGGAGTTCAGGCTGCTGGCTTTGGCTTGTCCTGGCCTTTGCAGCCATTTGGGAAGCGAACCAGCAGATGTTAAGATGTCTGTCTGTCTCTCTCTCTCTCCCCATTCTCCCCCTCCTCCCCACATCTAACTCTGGCTTTCAAATATACCTTAAAACAAAACAAAAAAACTACTAGCAGAGTCATAGAGTCAGAAGAGTGGGCAGCCCAAGCCAGGGTCATGGGGGCTGGGGCTGGCTCACTCCATCCCAGTACCCAGGGAGGAGCCAGCACGTTCCTAGGACCCTCGGCAACTCACCAAGCCCCAGAGCCCCTTAGTGGCCACAGCCAACCCATGGTTCCTCCAGGAGGGGTCACTCCCCTCCCCTGTGGCCTCAGGGTGGAGTGCCCAGCTGCCCGGCAACATCAGCGTGGGAGCCCCAAGCTGGCCAGGCCGTGCTGCTGGCCCTGTGAGGCTGGGCCAAGGTCACCTCCTGCTTTGGCCCCTGAGCGTGTGAGCAGCTGAGCTGTTACACACTAGATGGTCAGCTATGAAGTGGGGCGCCAGGGGTCTGGGCAGAGGCAGGGCCACCAGGTAGCAGCACGCACCTGCAAGACAGCCGGCAGCACCAGCTCGGGGAAGGCAATGCTGTGGGCGTGGCTGTGCAGGTGCTCCAGGGTGAGGTCACACAGCTGCTCCACCAGGCCATCCTACAGCGCAAGAGAGGAGGGGGACGTGGCTTCTCAGGATATTCCCATCTCGGGCTGACAGGCAGGAGCCACAGGAAGTGGCCCACAGCTTCCCAGAAGCTACCACCAGCCTCAGGCAGCTGGGAGTGACGAACCCCTAGGGCCCCACCCTGGACACCCACAGAGACAGCCTCACCCGGTATGCCTTCTCCTGCAGGTTGACGTTCGACAGCTTCAGGATCACGGAGAAGTTGATAGGCCTGGAGCTCATGCGGCCTGGCCTCCGGTTGAAGTCAACCTGCTGGAAAACCTGCCCCAAGAGGGAGCTGTGTCGGCAACCCCAGCCACATGCTGGTCCTCAGGCCCGCACCCAGACCTCAGACCTGCACCCTGCCTGAGACTCACACCTGGGCCCCAGATCCGCACCCTCCCTCAGGCCTGTGTGGAGCTCATGCGAACCCCGGGACCTGCACCCGGGCCTCAGACCCATCTGGAGGTCAGGGACAGGCAGCCTGGCACAGCCCCATGGCCGTCCAGCATCTGCCCGGGTTCCCACTGCCACTGCAGCCTCCCTTTCCAGCGATGACAGAGGCCTGGTCGTGGGGTTCGTGGCTGCAGCCGGGGCTGCGGCAACAGAGGACACAGCAGGGTCTCTGAGGAGGCCCCGGCAGCTTCCCCTCTACATCCTCCCCAGAAACCGCAGCTGAGCACCAGGCGTGGCCTTTCTGAGCGCAGGTCAGCAGCCCAGCCTGACCCTTCCCAGCCCCAGGAAGCCGTCACGCAGGTCCTGGGCAGGCGAACCTGGGAGGGCAGGCTGGTGGGGGAGGGGCCCACGCAGGAGGGCAGCTGCCAATAGCTAAGCCACGGATTCACACCCAGGCAGCGACTGATCCGCAGGGGTGCCCAGGCTGAGTGGAGGCTGGCTCCCCAGACCTCCCTGCAGGCAGACACAGAGGAGCAGGCTGTGCCCTGAGTGCTGCGGGGAGCCAAGCACACTTCAGGACGAGGGCTTCCAGAGCAGGGCCGAGACGGAGGGTGCAGGCCGTG